TTCAGCTGGGTTCCAGGTTAATCTCCCGCAAAGCTTAATTGGTTTGCAAATGAGTGTATTTCGCCAACGCACTGTCGCAGTTTTGTATTGCGATTACGAACTGCGAAGGTGGACCACCAGGTGAGCACTAATCACGATTCAACAGGCTTCACACCTCTGTCACAGGCCACTTAGTGTTGGCTTAATAGAAACACGATTTATCTATCTAAATGTTTGTGTATGCTCACAGGCCAGAACTAAGGTGTGTGGTTTTTTCAACAAAGACTTTTGTTGTTTTTAACCGGAAGTGAATTCATGTTAAAAGTTGTTTAAACTATATCCGTCCCTTTAGTTAATTATCATTATTATTAGTCAGGCAATTAAACGGACTGATGTACAGGTGATCCTACCGATCATCATCACATTCATCTGGGCAAATTTTGTGAGCAACGAAGCTATAAAAAATATCTCTCTTCGTCTTTGATGAAGTGTTACTGAAAAGAAAGAAATACAGGTATTGCAATGCAGTTGTGGGTATATAAAGCTTTCAATTTCGATAAGATCAGCGCAGACTGCATTCAATCCTCTTGGTAAAAATGCAGAGTCGAAAAACACAAAGGTGACTGCATTTCGATAGAGCGAATGTGGACATCTAAAAGGCGCACACCAGAAACGCTGTTGTTTCTGAAACAATTTTAATAGCGAATGGGACAGATTTAATTTTAAGCGGACACACCAAACTTTCAAATCATGTTGATGCATTTTCGATCGAATGCTGCAGTGAGATTATTGAAATTTTCACCGGTGCCATGAAGTGGACGACTGCAGTAATTTTACTTAAAGTTTCATCCTGCAATGAAACGTACCTGTCCCAAAAAGCCCGAAAGTAAATGATTGTTACGTACTTCTACTACTTCATCCTCCTACCTCAAAATATTTACTGTGTGCATCTCAGGAGGGATCCAAGAGACTCTGAACAACCACATCTAGTGGCTGGGGAGTTCCGTCACAAATGGCCTATCAACAGTACGGCTAATGCGCGTTTGGACAGGACATGGTAGTGCCATCAATCTGTCACGCAGTCCACATCAATTGAACCGGGCCCCTGGACTGGCGGTTGTTCTGCCAGATGAACCATGGAGGGACCATGGGATTTATTCTGCTACTAAATAAATTACTTGCGTTTCGTAGGGAGTAGGACGCTGATGTTCCAGTTAGAATTCCGCCTCACCACTTAAGCCCGTCTGTACTGAAAATAAAAGCACTCCTTTACGGTTGTTCCCTGCTTATTAGGAAGCATAATTTATTCGCATCTCACTTATCACTCGGTGGTTGGAACCCAAATATTACAGCTAGCAGTCGGTCAGCACCAAATTGCCTGGCGCGAAGTATGACTGAAGGACGGTGTATATATTCATGGTTCAAGTTTGAATTACACTGCCAAACAAATGTTGTGGTGTCCTGGTGTAATATATATTGTTGAAAGTTCGAATATCCTCAAAGTTGCATTGAGCGCGGACCTCTAGTGATTATCAATAGGACTAAAAAGAGCGAAAACGGCTACTGTGATAAAAACTGGACCAAACTCAAAAGCGTACTTTAGAATGAAGTTGGTGGAAAACGGGAAGTCTATTGCAATTCGAATGATTATCCCGTTCGTAAGATTGTTGAAATGAATATGCTAAACTTATGCAGCCTCATATTCCATTTGTGAAAGTAAGTAACCAAACTCTAGACGGTCCTCTACTGTCGAGTGATGTTGAAATGGTCAAACAAACATGATGATTTCTGTGGAATGAATATGCTTATGCAGCCTCATATTCCATTTGTGAAAGTATGTAAGTAACCAAACTCTAGACGGTCCTCTACTGTCGAGTGATGTTGAAATGGTCAAACAAACATGATGATTTCTGTGGAATAATCTCTCAAGGAACTCCTCCTCAGAAAATGATGGGGGCATATATTTTCGGAGCGATCATTTTCGGACATTACAGCCCCATAAATTCCACCCATTCTAAAACCTTATGCGTCAGTGGTATTGGTCCGAAACGAAAATAAAAACATTTATAAACAATCATTTTAGTGTTCCTTAGTTTAGAATGTGAACTGTGACTTGCGGGCCAGAGGGATGAAAATGTATCTAACTGCTTTTGTGCAACCATAAGGCTAAATGTGGCTGTTTGGTAGCTGTTTTCCTAGCTTAGCTATAAATTACATTCCAGTCTAAAAGTAGCTATATAATCAACAAACTTTTGCCGGGATGGCTTCCCCATTTTGGCCTGTATTAGAAACTTTTCATCTCGACAAATTGAGATATGATTTAGCCGATAGGAGCTTATATCGGAATCCCAAAGTCATCAACCGTTAGAATAAAACGGTCAACCCCTAAGCTCTGTGCACCTTTGTACAGTCACGTTCTCTGTTTCACTCCTTACATAACGCAATTGATAACTCTAAATAACAAGGATCCTGAAGAGCTAAAACGAGCGCAGATGGTGATCAGAGCAATATCCGAGTGACCTGAGTCGGAAGGTCCCGGACTCAGTAGGTGACTGATAACAAGATTCCTTACTGTCAAAATGGGTTGCTCTGATGACACAGATAACATACCTCATGAAGATTAGTCCTGACAGTTAACACTTACAGACTACGTTATGACGAAGATGTTGTCGATTTCAGAGCCGTCGTATCCGCCCGAAACCACGCCTTCTTCACTGAGCCACCCACCCGAAACATTTTGGTTTATTTGCACTCTTGTTCATGTACATTTTGGAATCAGAAAAAAGTCTCATTACGCCACTCGAAGTATGTCGGTTTTTCATGGAATCCACCGAGAGACTACACGTAAACTTAACGAATATTTAGATCTACTTTCACTTCCAAACAGATAGGTACTAAAATCTGATTCATATTGTCATTTCGGAAGATACAACCGGGAGGAGTTTGCTGCCTGATAATCAACTGACTTCCCTACAGAACGAAGCACTACCTCTGTAATAGCTAAGACGCTGAGTGGGACTGCGTACTTGGACAAAATCAGGGAAAAGATCTGTAGACAGTTGGTTTCGATAGTCTCAGGAAGCAAGTCTAGTATAGTAATATTAGAACTGTTTAATTGTGAACCAATGTAGTCAATAGCAAAAATAAACGTCTTTTGTTTTGGTAACCGATAAAATCGACGCAATACGAATGTGAAGGATGTCATTTTGCGTCTCCAAAACCAAAGGTTTGGAGTCTTTTCAATAAATGCTTTTGGATTTCTGGTTGCCGGCCTTTCTTTCTCGAAGAGGCTGGAGATTTACCGGATGATTGTCAAATTCAAGTGTATTTGATTATTATATTGAGCTGCGCTTATTAAAGGTATCAATGTGCATTTCAATACCTTATGAGTTTAGCCCGACAGTATAACCACTCGGGACTTTGTTGCATATAAATCTTAATCCAAGAATGTTAAATGGAGTTGTGGGCGCTGGATATGGCGAGTTGCTGAGCAACTTCAGGGTGTACCTTAAATAAACTTTTTCACGACAGCCACTAAACGAAGGCATTTGTCTTAACGGGTCAGCGGCTAATGAATGTTGGGGTTGACAGGCATAGTTAGGCTTTTAACTACATATTCAGTTAGGGCCTTCATGGGTTACTGTAGAAGATGGATCCACTTAGAACTTCCTCTTATAGTTGGACTTGCAGATAGCGATCAGAGTTCATGCTCATCAGACGATACAACAAAGCCACTAGCAAAGGGGTATACAGGGCCTAGAAGTATTGAACGTGTTGACCATATTACACAAAACAGACCACACATTCCACATTCTATTCTAACGCGGGCATTGTTTTTCTTCAACCTCAGGTCATGTGTTTGGTGTGTCACAAGGTAATGACACAACGGAAGTTGGATACAATCAAGCGTCACACAGTTCGTCGTCACGTGGAGTTGCTCGGCATGCCTGAGACGGACAGACAAAATTTGTTTGAACAGCTGGTTCGCCAACACAACTTGATTGGTCCCATGGATGCTGCCCAGACAAACAACACATCCACGACCCGCGTGAGCCGTAAGGTTCCGGAGATGACAAAAGCACTATTAATGAACAAGCCTTTGGAAGGCATAGCTTTGGGTGGTCTGGAAAACCAAGTGTCAAGGTTGACGAGCGCCCGGTCCACTGAGCTTCCGACATGGCATCCGAACCATATGAGTCCCTCGCTCAAGTTGCCAGAGGAAAAACCCGTGTTTCCAGAAACCCGGCACAGGAAAAACAACTTTGAGCAAGTAATCATACCAACACTAGGCCGAGTAGGGAACCCAACACCTACTACCCGTCCCATGATCTCACCATTCAAAAACGTCTCACCAATATTCAGCAATGAACAAGGTCTACCGGTGTCTCCAATTTTGAGGAGTGCCCCGACTGATTCTCCACTCAAATATAACCGTGCTTCATTACGTGCACCCTCTTCGTTTCCAAGTGATTTTGGTGAGGTTGCCTCCCAAAACCATTATGTCACACCTTCCTTTTTTGACAAAATAGGTGGTAATCCGCCCCCATTCCCTTCTCCGCTGCCTTCGACCAACTCAGTGTTTCGGCCTGCTGAACTTCTGGAAAGCGAGCGAAAATTGAGATCCTGCGCTTCTCCATTCAGTCAAATACTGGATCAGCTTGCAGCATCCAGAACGAAACACTGTGCTAGCGAGGAAATGGGAACCGTTACTCGTCTCAAAAGCTTTTATGGCCCTGCACAGACAGCATTTCACCACATGGAACCAGCACCTTCATTTAAGCTTCTACCTTCTATCGGGATGAATCACACCAAACCTGGAATCTGCTCAGATGCTCCCAAGCCACATGTGTCTAGCCCGAATCTAGTAGCTTCGGGTAATCTACCGGGTTCCAGATGCAATAAGACTGATAATGACCAATCAGTCAGTTCCGCACTGCCATCCAGTCCCCTGCTACCCGGTATAAGCTGCCAGACGGGGCTCGGGATTGAACCAATCAGTTTGCCAAAGTTGGCATCGATCTCAGACAACCACACAGCCTTTGCGTTGGCTGCAGCCGCGACAGCACAATCCCTCTTACGTTTCCCTCAGAATTTGTGGCCTCCACATTCTCCCGCCGAATTGATGAACCAGGTGAGTCTCGTTTTTACCGTTCGGTCTATACAGATGCTGCCATACTTAAAGAGATTATTGTGTGAGAAACAAGTTCGAGACAGGCTAGACGAATTTACACAGAGTTGAGGACAAATTGCGAGGACCATGAAAACATGAGATCAACAACCCACCGTCATGCATAGCTTATCATGTTAGGAGCTCTGGCTTCAGACTCATCTTTAGCCATGTATCTGAACATAAAAGTGAGAAAGGGATTAAATTAGATTACAGTGCAAACACATTACTATGCAGCTTTGGAAAGGAATGGGATGAAAACACGCAGCAGGTATAACAGGTGTCACTGGTCTTACCGACTACAAAATTTACGGCCTTGCTCAACGATATTTCTCCCCATAGAGCAACATTTAGCGGGAGGCATGGTCAGACAATGCACTCTTTCAAGAGGCTCGGAGAACACAGCAAGGAAACAGCATGTCCAAACATACTGCATTCTACTGAGCTTTGAGTGCAGATTCCGGAAGAAGTAAACTCAGTTCAGTATGACGAGCCTATCTGAGATTGGATGAGAATTGTATTGCCAAGCAGATCACTACAAAATTCATCACTGGTAAGCAGAAACGAGTAAGTTATTCAGTAAGTTGTTGCAAAGCATTTGTTGGGTGAGGAGGGAACCCATCTGGTGGCACTCTAGAACAATGAATGGCAACGAATGCTCGGGAGATCACCGGGGCGAATCAAATTTCTGCACGAACCGATTGTTCGCAGTTCACTGTGAATAGAACATGAAGCCATGGGGATAGCTGTAAAAACACTTTTGATTGAAACTCTCACAATAAACCCACGTTTGGGAGCTTTGATGTAAGATATATGGGTATCACTCTGGGTTAGTTTGAAACTCCACCTGACAGCATGTAGTGTAGGCCATAAAGCAAACTTCCAAAGATTTTTTTCAGATCGGATGTCAATGTTTGTCTGAGTGTTATAAGAGTTGTTTGCTCAGAACAAGAATCACCATATTCTAGAATTTACAAGGCCGACGGACCAAGAAAGTCACTTCTACAAGACTTTATAGCTCTAAATATTCAAGATCGTTAGCTTTGAATATGATCTTCTACCAAGTTGCCCAGGCGCTGTAAGATCGGTCGGTTGTAATATCGGAAATATTCTCCAGACTTTTTTGAAATAACTAAAAGCCCTCTGTATACTAGCTGGACAAAAATAAAATGTACTCATCATAACGCAGCTGGTCTTGTTTCCCATCCGACTTTCAATAACTGAATAATCGATTCCGATACATCTCGTGGTGTAGCAGTGGCCAGGACCGATAGAAAGAAAACGAAAACGGCATGTTTCTTTTCTTCACTTACCACTGTTTTCTTCTCGGTAACTCAGTTTGTCCGCCCCCATTTCATAGTTGTATGCTGAACAGCATTGTTAAACTTTACCTTCGGAACTCAACAGAGCCCGTAAAATTGCTTCGCCAACTGACTTCAGTTCCAATCACGCGAGGTTGATTTATTAGGCTGTAATCATACAGAGTTTTACAGAGTTGCTTTCACAATGGACTCCTTGTGATCGAACCAATAATGTCAGCCAGAAAGACAGCAGTTTGTTACTGCAAAGATAAGCTGTTTTATGAAAGTCCGTGGACTAATCCGCAAAAAGCGCAGTCAGTAGACCAGTTTCACGAACCACACTGAATCAGTTTGTAGTTGACTACCTCCCTCTGTGCACAAGATGTGCACATCTGCTTGGAACTCCACAATAAGTGGCGACCTTTTGATGCAACGTGGTACAAAACCAAGTTGATCCGGCTAACAGTAATCTGATTTACATAATACAGCAACTGCATGAAACATTCACAATGGACATGGGTCCCAGTATATAGACGAATACGAAAAATAGACTACTGAGTTCATCGAACAATAATCTATTCTGTCGGCGCATGGCTGTCTGAAATCATCTATTTGTGGCAGAGACATGTCTAGCGAATACTTTCTCTCACTTCGCGATATTCATGCGCCTGATACCTCTACATCGTGAATGCTATATTGGGAGACTACGAGAGGCTTTCAAGAGCGAACAGTCAGGGGATAACGACTGTGTAAAACGATCTGCTTTCGGTAGTCTAAAGGCTACAGAACTCAAGGTCTATAAACAGGCCTATCAGGGTGGCCCCGTTATAAAGGATAACACTGCCAAGATGCATAAATGAAAAAATGACTGCTGCATTTTGTGAGACTTATTATGCTAGGGTCAGATTACACAACGGAGCAGGTATTAAGGTCCGATACACCGCGAAAATACAACCAGATACAACATAACGTCCCTGAATGACGTAATCAAAATGCTCTTAGAAACGTTCTGCTTTTTCTTAAGTATATCATAAACCCTAATATTCAAGAAAATAAAATTGTGTTGTACCCTTAAACATATAAACATATTTGAGTCGAAACTCGGTTTAATGAATATAACACAAAAAAATACGAGAGAGATAGGGAATATCATTAGGGGCGAACTGGACACATGATCAATGCTATTTGTGACTGAATACCATAAAATTCATGTGTTAAGGCATGTTCATTACTTCGTTTCGATCAGATGAAAGGCGAAACGTTAATTGTGATCAGTGAGTACCGGTTTTTGTGTTAGAGGAATGATGGCCGACTACGAATTGTACACGTGGATGAACGCTACCTTAGCTTGAACAAAGTCAAACACTGGCTTTCGCTACTTAGCATCATTACCCTGGGAAAAATACGAGGTCGAACCAAAACTAACCATACTTTTTCGCTTATTTCAAACAGATGTAAAGAGACTGAAGGGTTGCAGCTAGATGGAGACTCCAATTTTGGTAAAAGAGAATTAGTGTGTCTCTCCTTCGTCTAAGTGATGACTGCTTGAGGTTAAAATGATCAACTGAGTCAGATGTAACTGTGCAAATAGCGTTTGCCACATCCTGGTCTCCGCGATTTACGCTGGCACCTAACTGATAGAATGATCCACCTTAAGGGGACGCACACACACACACACCTTTGTTGTGTCTTCGGGCGAGGGCCTCCCATTTGGAAAATGCCATATCCACACATGTATCATTATTAAGATATTCCCATGCTCATGATTTCCTCTGACGCATATTTTCAGATGCCCCAGTGGTCTGCTGATTTAACTCCCATGATGATGGCAACTTGGGCCGCTGCAATGGCAGCGGCAATACCAAACGCAGGACCACGTAACACATCTGATGGTAGTGAGATTCTCACCAAACAAGGTCATAAACAAACAAGCACAGCCTTCAACGGTCCGGGATGTCGAACACCTACTCCGGCATACCCACCTCAAGTATCCAACAGCAACAACCCGCATGTGTTATCCACAACCCCTTACAATACCAACCGCCCTTCTGCATTTCAGAATTTGCCGCCAATCTTTACTGCAGCCGTAGCTGAATCCGCCTCAAAGCTAGCAAGCAATTTTACAAACTTACCTTCTCCCAAAAGTGATCATAATAGGCTATCGGGAGTTTCCGCGGCACCTAAGATCTGGGACTGGAAATCAAGGGAGGTGTTTTCGCACATACCCAAGCCAACGTCGTTTCAGTCTTTTGATCCTGACACAACAAACATCGCCAGCGATATCAGAAAAGCATTCCAGTCCTCGTTTTTGAATCAAGTGCCACCAGAGCAGTCATCTAACCACAACCCTAATTCAAGGAAAGATAATTTCATGATGAGACACACAGATGGAATAGTTTCCCCGAAATCTTCATTAAATTCACTACATGAACGACTCACGTGCCTAGTTTGCAGCTGGGAGAACAAGGACAATAACAGCGTGGCTGATAAAAACAACTATGACCCGTCTCTGTTACAACATATGTCACATACTTGTCGGTCAATAACAGGAAACACACCACAAGCTTACCACGACAAAGGAAAACAGTTAAATGGACACATGAGCCCATGTGATGCATTGACAAATTCTGGAGGAGGACCCTTGACAGTCAGCCAGAGTACAATTACTGTGAACTGTTCCCTTACACCCGCTACTTGTGATATACCGGGAATTCTAAGTAGCCGAACCCCACCCATATTGTGTCCCCCTTATCAAATTAGCCCCTGTCTGTCGGCTTCACTAGGAGATTCGAACGCCAAATTCTGCAATGACCTATCCAGCCAAAAATCGCACTGCTCACCATCGGATGCCAAAAGTGATTGCTCCTCTCCGCAGTCCGCTAAGAGTTGCGCCGCCAAAGACAAGGATTCCAGGCGTCGTCCATACGCACATAACGGCCTAGCCATGACGTTCGGTGGCGAACTGACAGTTTACCGACAAAATGGTGAAGATCGCAGTGTCTCAACTTCAGTAAACAAGGTAGGCATGTTTCGATCTGATGTGAATACACAGAACTTCCTTTTACCACATTGAAACATGTTTTTGTACAAACAGTTAGCCGGTCATATGAAGATCCTCATAACGAGAAAGCTATAGAGGAAAGACATCTTGTTACCATCGTCGTTAGAGAAAGCAATACCCCCACAGAACATACAGGTACTAAGCCGACATATAACCAAAGAAGCCTTTTCTTGCAAAGATTAACAGAACTGGGTGGTAGGGACTCACAGAAGAATGATTTATATCCCTAGGGAAAAATGTAACCAAAAGGGTGCCTGCATCTTTCAAAACCATGAAAATTGGTACACTGGAAAATCACATTCAAGCATGATACAACTAGTAGGACTGACCCAAAATTTCATGCGAACGCGATAACAAGTTCAGCACCAGAACTTTAACAGACAATCAGGCTAAGAAGTGATGGAATGCTCGTCAATGGAAGCGGTTTGACAATATATTTTGTATGGCCTCCAACCATGCGCAGATTGAATCGCCTTGACATCACTCAGGAAGGCGTGCAGGTTTAATGGTACTCAACCTGGCAATGATCATCTCAGTTTTGCACTGTCATGCCAAGAAATTCTGCTCAACTTGGAATCTCATCTCCTCCGCCCACTGAGGTCTGCTATAAGTAATACGTGACCCAAACATCCGAGAGCGGAAAGAGTTTTTTGCTGTTTGCTCGAACCCGATTCATTACCTAGCACCCATTTACGAATATGTTGAAGAATAAGAGGATCCTAATGATAAAATCTTTGAACACACCCCAGAGAGAGAATCAAGGCCCTATGGCCATAATTTAAGTCTACTTTCAGGACTTTTTGTACGTGCCTCAAAGATTACACTATCTGGCATGCGCCGGCTTCACGATACACACCGACTACGTCTGTCGCAGTAAAATCACGGCTCACGTATTTGCTGAACACGCTGATTAGTCCAAATACAAGCCACTTATTCAGAAATCACTTAATGATACACGATACTGGGGCATACTGCAACAAGACGGTACTTTGAAGCTACTTCCGATACTTCATTTGGAACAATTCGCGCGGTCGCATGATTGTCAACTAAAAGACCAGTATCAACTGTATAATGCAGACTCACTATTCTTTCTCCACATGTGATTCTGGTACCCAGGTTCATTTTCTCTGGAAAGTGTACTTTAAAGTGCTACTAAAAATTCGAACAAGGCAAAAGAGAGGAGACATTTTTGACAGATCCCACTAGTTGCGATGGGACATTTGGAAACGTAGGGACCTATCAGTTCACGGAGTAGTGGGCTCTGTTGAGGTCAGCGAAAATTGCCGCCGCTGGTCGACAGCATGTGTGACGTGGCTCAAACACTAGACGTAATTCGAAGATGGTCGAAAGCTCGCCTTCTGCTGTCGCGTACCCTGGTTGAATAAAGGTGAAGTATTTGATTGTCCTCAGTTCACTGGAACACACATTCTAAGATTAGCCTAAACTATCTAGTAAATGTAAAACATAATGTTACCAACATTTACCAACCCCAATAGGAGCTCATCTGGCTCCTTTGCCCGATGAAGTTTCAACGAAGAACGGAAGGCATAATAACACGTCACCATCGAGACCCAATTCTTAACTTCCCCTTGAAATTTCAAGTTCCAATACTAGTGTCTCTCCCAGAGAAGGCCAATTTTGATTGGTCCCAAGGTAGTAGCCTCAAATAAGGAAAAAACCCTGCTTAAATCGCAATCCAAAGAGCTGCTTTGTTTGGTGAGTGTCCAAACCAAGGGATCTCGTTAAGCGAAAGCTCACTGTGAAATTCTAGAAATCGTCAAATAAAGCAGGATTTTGCATGCAGAGAACATTAGCACATCGACTGAGTCGTGATTTTTGTTAGTTTACACTAAACGGACAAATTTTTAAACCTAGATCTGGGTGCACTTACAATTCCCCACTTTAAAGTTCACCCCTTAGAACTCGTTCACAGAATACCATTCTCAGTTCTATTCAGAATGGAAAATCTCAAAATGACATGCAGAGGGTAACCGTATTTGAGACCCACACGTGTCCGTGAGACACACTAAGAATCAAACTGGTGGGCTTGATACGTAGCTAGCGCATGAATGAAAAAAACTAGTGCACGAGGTTTGTAAACTGGTCTTTAGAAAGGACCCCCGATCCGAGGGTGTATAAACTAGCCTCTCTTGAATGCCGTGAGATGGCCAGTCACGAAATATCAATTTAAAAGGGCCTGGCGAAGTGACCGTGGCTAGAGAATGGTGAACTCTCTTGAGTGGGTGAAGCTACGGCACATTTTTACGCTGGTTGATAACGGAGAGTAACGTACTGGCGACAAATTGTTTGAATTGTCTTATTTCGGCCGGATCCATCGGTACACGCTTTCAGATGAACATATTTTATCGAAATACAACGATAACACCACTTGGGAGCGGTAGCTGTTCAGAGCTTTTATTGTCGAGCTGTATTGGCATGTAAGCGGAGAAAATAATGGCCGATCGGCAACTCGTAAAATGTAGTTGGAAATCATATCTCTGGAATGGCTCACTCCCACCTTAAAATTCAACCTCGAAACAACCATCCTTCACTGGTCCTTCACAAATTTTTCTATGTAGCATTGGTGCTACTTCTACAGTGAAAGGCGCTTCAAAAGATTCGTATCATCAAAAAAACCACCGTGCATCGACTCATGTTGTTGAAGTCTTTAGTCGTCTTGCGTTGTCACATACTGAGATATCTCTTTAGTGTTTTGATTTCGTAAACCCAACGTCCAGACGCTGTCTTTCGGATGCCCCTCATAAGACATGAAATATTACACATGACAACGTTTAACCTGGGAATTCTTCGTTTGTGGAGATATTTCTATTACGGACACAGACTATTCACACATTCTTTTAAGCATACGAACGCACATGCGTGATACGTAAACCTTTACAAGAAGGCCCGTTTTCGTGATTTTAACAGATATGAGCCAGTGGTGCTGGTAAAGTCCCCACCGCTACTATGCTGTATAAGTAAACAGTTACAGAAGTTGTCTGCTGTCTCACCAATATATCACTATCCAGTTATTGCTTGTTAGAACGGACCTTGTGAACACGAGCTTTTATTCGAGTAATCACAGCAGCGATTACTTTCTGGAAGGCAAAGTTCTAACTTCAACCTATGGTGTCCTCTAAGATAGATAGAGGTCTTGTCCACTTGTTATATGTTACATAATCTGGTCCAGCGGAGAATTGAGTTGTTCCACATATCGAAGCACAAGATTCGAGTCTGACAAAGTCCGATCCAATAGAAGGAAAAGAAAGAGAATGCATAAGCTTGAGCGTTTATCATCTGTTGTGATGTAGTCAGTGAGACCACCCATGTACCTAGATTGGGACACTGAAGAGGACCGGTATTTAATGCGAACGGCGTTCTGTGAATCTGGTCGTTTTGGCACCTTAGGTGTGCATCTGTGCAGTATCAGGCTCCTTTTTATTCTTCGCATTGTCTTACTTTCCTGAAAGAACATCATGTTACTTTGGAACGACTGCAAGACAGCTAGCCGCCAGCTTTCTCACAATGATGTCACTGTCTGTGATGATGATTATGACTTGCCTGGCAGCCGATCACTGTGATTGCGAAATGCCAGAAAAGCTAATTTTGACTTGGTTGACGAAACTTCTGAAGGAGTATATCCTCGAGCCTCATTCAGGCCAGTTTACACTATTCACGCACACGTAGCAGCAGCACACCGTGTACATCAGTGAAGAGACTACACTTATTCCGGGTCGTCTATTAGGATTCCGTGTTTACTGCATAAAAGGCGACGTTTCACCAGTCCACTTTGTCCCTATTTACGATATACTTTATCGAAGGCTACCAGCACCGGGTCAAGCACCCCTAACCGTCTGGACGTGTATACACGGTGGGACGTGCTGGATCGATATCGTGTTGACGGTGGCCTGGGTATAGCCAATCATGTGCAGGCCACAAGTGGCTAAACTTGCCGGTGATTGGTCAGTTGCCGAATGCATAGTTGGAGGGCGCGCTCATTTTCTTGACTCCGGGACGATCGGTATGTCAGGTTTGACGTGGTAATCCGCATGTTGGGTAAACACGGCTTGGACAACGTGGATAATGTGCCTCTAATTCATAAACTTACTTTGTTGGACACCATGTCAGATAAGGTTGGTTTGTAAAAGCACCGATTCTTCGTAATTTGATAAAATCGGATATTCCGTTTTGAACCGTAGTTGAACAGTGTTTGATGAATTAGTAGGTCATGACAATCATTATTCAATAACCCCGATAGAAATTACCATTTTGTTTTATTTGACGGGAGCTTCCAATTTCGTTTCTGTATGTTCTGTGTTTACAGCGTGTATGCACACCCGTCGAATCACCAACCGTCCAAGAACAGTTTAGGACGCCTTCTCCAGTTCCGTCTTTGATGGAGCACCCGTCTAATACTGCTTCTGAGTGTAGCTCATTCGATCGACGCAAGGATGACAGCCCTCGAACTACTGTACAGCCCCCGCCATCCCTCTCACCGTTTTGGTCCACGTGTCTGTCCGGTCAACATTCCACTCACGCACCAGCAGAAATTCTGGGTTCCGATGTCTCTTCAATTCATTCTGCCGGTGAGGGCTTCGGAGTTCATATTTTACGGCTTGCCCCTGGACAAGAGGTTCGGAGCTGCTTGTCTCACTACGTACTGAGCCATCATCTGGCTGGGGCATTCATCATCACATGTTGCGGCAGTCTTACAAAAGCTCATATACGTTTGGCCAATTTACAAGTGAGTTCTTGTCTTGAGGCATTGACTTACTAAATTCCTCTTTTCCATGTTATGGATTACGTTGCAAAGTGTTGTTCGATTTGAATAACGCTAGCTTTGTAACTGAAGTTCTGCAAATGCCCTCTATTTGGGGTTTCCAAATCCGTTTCAACGGCCACCGTGCTTGCATAGGTGATATCCACGTATGAGAGGCGTATAACTAAGCTTTTTCATGGGTGTTTGAGAGCTCTGCAAATTCGGTTGTCCGGGGTTATTGAAATTGAGAAGTGAGAGTGTTTATTTCATCACTGTCCCCACATTCTATCAAACTAACGGTCTTCTTATGGGGTTGCTGATGACTTGATAGGTCATTACTGATCTCGTTCTTGGGACACATCGGGTAGGCTTAGCCCCCATCAACGTCACATCCTATTTGAAGTAACACACAGACGGCGAAATACACTGGTTTACAAACTGCATTCGTGTTGACGGTAGATTCAACTGAATTTCTCGTTTATGGTAAACCAAGAGGCTATACATGTTTTCCAAATCTTCTTGACAAATGAAACATGAGGCAGGGTTGGTTCAGCACATTCATATGAAGAATATCATAGACAATAGGTTCATTCGAGTCTGCCATTGACACCACTGTAATCTGCAGTGAGTGTATTTCACCAGTGTTCCAGCATCTTATGGACACTACGCTTGTCAACAGGGGGCAAGAAGCCATGATAGGAATAATTAATCGTTGGTCAGATGTGAGTCAGTGATTGACAACAAGGAGAAAGTAGCCTAACTCATGACGGTATCGTCGACTATTTTGTGTGGGAGCGCCTTGGACTATATATAACTGTTTTCACAATACCACTGGGAATTTAGAACCGCTTAGGCATTCAAAATAACTTAATAGCTAAGGTTAAGTAGGTACGAACATCAATGTACCAAAATAGTTATCATCGTCAGACAAGGCTAGTTTCCTCAATCCTACGAGTATTTGCCGCGATAGGGATTGGAATAGAGGACGTCAAAACTGCTGTCGGCCTTCTTTGATTAGCCGAACACCGTCGTACATAGGTTCAGCTTACCGTGATGCTACGATTTGCACGTCAAAGTAACCGCATTACTGTGCTGGAGCATGTAGTATTTTCATAAGTCCCCCAAGAATAGTTAATCTGTGTGGGCTTGATAAGCACCAAATTCTGGCCCTCCACATCCCACGGGAGAGCAGGCGTGAAGAGTAGATATTTAGAAATGAGCTACTGTCGTAGGATTGTGTTCATCGCTGTGTGGGCTGATAAGCACCAAATTCTGGCCCTCCACATCCCACGGGAGAGCAGGCGTGAAGAGTAGATATTTAGAAATGAGCTACTGTCGTAGGATTGTGTTCATCGCCATTGGTTTTCACAACTGTGGACTACAATTGGTATCGCTAAACGTCCTCTTTTCAGTTAGGTCTGACTGCCCTGTCAGTACATCAGCCCAAATGCACCATGTTCGTGCCTTGATTTCACATCGACTCTCTCACACGTGACAGCCTGGTTGACCACATTGAATCGCTTAGACAAGCTGACTCCGCAACTTCGATCGATCCGTTAAGCGACAATCGATAGGGCCACGTTCTCCGGTCGTCCAATTCACGGAAAACGAGGTTGAAACCTTCACCTAATCTTGGGCGCAGGGACTTGTTACTATCGTCGTCTCGGAGATTCATTAGAATGTGGACAGTCGTTAACTCATTTGATCCGGCCGAAATTAGGAAAGGCGTTTGTGAATCCCTAAAACCAGAGTCGAATTTCGCGTAACAGAAACCGAACACAAGCTACCATCTCCACCACTACCCCAACTGATTGGTTAGGAAATAGTATCAGCCTTTATTCTTTCTTGTAATTAACATGGCGTGATTGACCCAAATCTACCGATCTTAACCTATTTTTGAATTTCAGCCAATCGTCTTTGTCAGTGTAAACTAACTGAACTCTTCCAGTCATACAAATTTAATGGACTACAAACAATACACACCGTCCATTTTGTCGTCCTTCGCTTTTGGCAGTCATTAATGAGTACTGAAGGTCACAAATCCTCAGTGTTGATGTTTTTCACCTGTGCAAGTTTAGAGAGGAATGGACACTACACTTACCCCATTATGTCTCATGTTGCTGGGCATCTGCTTAGATTAGCCTATCTGTATCAGAGTCATTGCCCATAATGCCCATAATCTGGAATAAGCAGACAAGCTTTTTATCATATTCGAAAAGGAAAAGAAAGTGTGGGAGCCTAAGGTTGAACGAACTACTGCCATCTCATTCTTAGACCTAAATACACATCACGGTTCCTAGACAAACGGACGGTGAGCACACATTTCGTGGTTAGCAATAGAGATCATGCATCAGCCAGTAAACTCACTGGGGATATATTCCAACCTAGCAACTAAGACTAAATTTATAAATTTTACGTAATTTATCAATACAGTGAGTTAGGCCATTTGAGCCTCTGTCACATACAGTGCGTGAATTTTCATGTATGAATTTGATAGACACATAGAGGTAGCAAAGTTAACATTAAAACGAACACAGGGGGGCACCACGTTACGGGAATAGGCTTCAGTTAGGCACAGAGCAAAGCTTTTTTCAACGCACTTAAACTCAGGGACCACAGTACGGTCATGATTGACCACTTTTAGCGCAATCAGAATTAAATGTGACCTATAGTTATGTGCAAGCCTTGAAGTTCCAGTACCCTACGCTACTTCGAAAACATTGTCGTTCATTTTCTAGCGCGAAGTCATTAGTGATGCAGGTCGTATATATTTTATCCATTTATCATCCCATCAGATGTTCGGAAATTAACCCACACACATACTAGGCGGTGCTCAGTAATTTTTTATTAGCATGCGTGTTCCCATGGCGTGTTACTGAAGCTGCTCGGTCCGATAAACGTAAAGCATTCTACCAACTACCCTATCTATTCACAGATACAGCGTGCATCTCGCTAGCAGTCTCTGACTTCATTTACTATTGATAAGGTGTAGTGGAATATTTCTCAGGCTGTTACTCCCTTGAACAACCACATCATCAATTCACAGAATTCTGTTGCTTACGTCTGTTCGCGCGCTTAATAGCTGAGTCTGATAAGCTAATCTTTTTGTACTTAGAGCACTCTTGTGCTCACGCAAACAGCTACCTGTAGCACTGCCATTTCGGTCTAAAAGTCAGTGACTTCCAAATTCTGCAAGCAAACAAATCATCGTTTCTAGCTACTTAATTTTTCGAACATTTTCAACCTAAAAATGGGTAGCTGAACTGTTGGAAGTTTGAGCTGACAACGCTAGTTCTTTAAACTTCAGAATACCTTATCGTTATTCCTAATTGAATACAGGTGGATAGTTTACATTTGTAGACGATTTTTCACGAAACGGGCAAAATCGAGGAGGCAATGAACAAAGCCTCATTTAATTCCTTGTCATGACCAGAGCCAAAACGCGACCTTTTCTGCTGGTGGTCTACAATTACGAGTGCTCATCACATTCATAAAATGTAATAGAAAGAAAAAAATGGATGAGATGTCTTCGCTCGGGTGGAATTTTTCAATTTTTCAGTCTGTTCATATAATCCACCATAAACCGTTTGCTTGGCGCAGCACGGAACTTCCAAGTTGAGGAGTCATCTTCGTCAGTCAAACGCAATTTTGATTATTACCCCGGTTTCTTTAGACGTCCACTTAAGTTATATAAAACTTTTCAGAGAACCATGACAAGTATCACGGTGCTTTCATTATGGCTTATTTCACATTCTGTGTCAAAGTGGGGTGTAGTCTGAATTTCTTTGAGTGTGTTAGGAAACTATGCAGGACATGGCGTGCATCTGATTCCAGTGGTGAACTTGCCGTCATTTCCTGGCCTCACTAAAGCTTATGTGCCTTGCTCCAAAACGATGCCCAGATTTATTCATATCAAAGGTTTTGGAAAGTGCAGGCACCTTGCTTTTGAAATTTTTATACAGAAACTTAGGGTTTCCTGCAAGTACCCCACTTTTATCTTTTTTAGACTGCTACTGCCTTTTCCTTAGTCGGTATATCACAGTTAAACACCAGTTTCAACCAGTAGTGCGTTGCCATCTATGGTAGTGATGATAATTATGGTGGAGAGGCTGAGTAGCCTAATTAAGTGCACTATACCCCACACGTCTGTATACTCTATTGCTTCGGGTAGTTTGCTTTCCTTGAAAACACAATGGACTTTTGTGCAGACAGTAAAGATAACCGGACGCTTAATCTATGCTTTCCATTCAGTTCTATGAACCGGTAGGCTGACAACAGTATAGGATACTACATTTTCGAAAAAAAACAACCTAGATCTGAAAATAGGGATGTTTTTTTCAGGGATCGAAAATGGAATAATTCAGGCCCACCGACAGGGGAAGTTCTAATTTCGATGGTCATATTGGGGGTTCCTGGGGCCCCCTAGAACAAAACACTTTTAAGCACTTAAAGATACTGTAGTTAGTTATAGAGCAGTAGAAAAATCTGGCTTAACTTGCTTAGAATACCCATTCCCCAGCATATAGGATCTAGACCTAGGAAGAACATCTCTTTGAGTGAGAAGTGTAGGTCAGGGATAATAGCTCTATTCATCTGCATTTAATTTACAGGACCTGTTTATCAAAGAGGCAGACTACCGTGCAGAACATGCCCAATCTTAAAATTCCTCTTTTTTTTATCAACCGGGGAAGCATAGGATGGTAAACTGTGGTAGGACGTGTTCCGTTAGGTGAGCTGAAAAAAGGAACTACAAGAGCATTTTAAGGACGGTCATGTTTGGGGATCGTAGTTTGTGTTCAAAGTATTTACCGAGTTGTAAAATTTGACCCACCTGAATCTTTTCCTGTTGAAAATAATGTCTATTCGTTCTAGCTTGTTTCGCTTTGAGCATCTGCTTTTCATTGCTTAAATTTTTTACGGAGTCATATGCTGAGGAATATATATCTTCTGAGCCTTGGGACTTCAACAGCTGTTACTTGAGTTTTCAAGAGGGAAGAGAGAAACAAGTTATTCCATTGGGCCTATTCTTAGCACACAAGATTCTTGCTACTGATAGTCTTCATCAAATGTTCGTGTTGTGTTCTCGAAAACTTTACTAGTCATTTTCCAATGAAATGTTTACGTGGATATCCAGGCTCTAAAAATTTATGCAGTTCTCGTGGATTTACTTCCTAACTTTAACCTACATTTCCTATAGATTGATTCCTTATTCTCAATGAGTACTATGGCTTTCCTTGTTTATAAAGCAAATAGGCAATATATCGAGTGCCGTTTATTCCATATTCTTTCAGGAAAGTGAATTGGAAGGCCCCTTTGAAATTGTTTCAATGGTGGGTACTCTTGCGAGTGATGGACATCCACACCTACACATTGCTCTGGCCGACTCGAACGGTCAGGTATTAGGGGGTCACGTGTTGGGGTCCTGTCAAGTGAACACAACAGCCGAAATCGTCCTGGGAGCGACTGGCGTGGAAATTAGAACAGCGGATGAAGTCCGTTCCAACCCTTCCCAGGAAATTGAAGAGGGCGTTCCAGCAAAGAAACGACGTGAAAATGACGTCTCTAACACTGGAATACGCCTCATCCGAAGAGAGGATCCTCGTACCGGGTTCAAAGAACTAGCGGTTGAGAATATAGCTGATCGAATATACTCCGACTAGGATTGCAGAACAACCATTTGGTTGGGAAATCCCGACTCAGTGGCTATGATGCGTTTTTCCAACATCCCTGCTCTTTACCCGCAACACTTCCAGACTAATATCTGACCAACTGTGACAACCTTTCACATTCCTGAAAAAGATTAAGAAATCAGTTGTTTGGCAAGACAAGTAAAATTATCCTTCCTCATTTGGAACGATGGGTCTTGGTCCTATTGTTCGGCTGTACATGCTATACAAAAGCAGATATTTTCTCAGTTGTTACAGCATTATTTACTTTTCTCTCCTTTGTGCTCCTTGCTCGTTTGTTGAGCGAGGATTATTAAACTTATAGATATATGTTATGATGCACACTGTACAGTAATTTTTTGGTTTGCTCTCTAACTCTTCTCACTTCCAGCAGTCTTTTATTCAAAATCACTCTCCCTCTGTTTTTTGAACGATTTGTTCAATTTCTATTCCATGCCTCTCTCTATATATCTGTGGTTTGTTACTTTCCGCTCCGAATTCCACACTTTATTCAGATGGTCTGAGGAAAAAAGTCCATTTTCGAATACCAGGTTGATGTCTTTATGAGCATGGGGGCTGGAAAGGAGTGTTTTCTGCAGTGTTAGACGGACTGAGTCTGTGAAAGAAGTCTAGTTTCGGATGATGTGGGTGTATGCAACAGAGCTTGTTTTCTATGACTGATGCTGGTAGATAATACTGGTAAGGAAGCAGCCGTATCGTTACCTGAAGTCTTGGATGCGTACGTAAGGTGACGTAGGGGTATGGAATCTACTGGGGTAGTTATGGAGTCAATTAGTTTTTACACCGATCTGTGACCATGTGCAATGTAAATGATGGCAAGAGTATGTACGATGGATGCATTTTCCAAGAGCCCACACGCAAGTTTAACCAAAAGTGCGTAGTTCTAGGAAACGCTGTCCATTGGAAGGTACTAATGGCCTGTGGATACCCGCTGAGTACACAGGTTGCAAAAATTAGACTGAACTATTTTATCGTGGTAGATCTATAGCAGGAAAATATTCCAGCCTACGAAGAAGGTCTGATTCGAAGGCCTTTCACAGCATTTGGCTGTGATGTAGTTGTACATTTAGAAACAGTATGAGAAATACAAAAAAAAACATTTCAGCGCATGCCTCGGCTGACCCACCTTTATTTCCAAGAAAAACGGCTTTTTGTTTCCCACTTCTATGCAGTCCACTACTCATTTGATCTATGAAGCCCACACCAGCGTGCCACAAATGTTTGTACTAAGGAGTTTCCTGTTTTCTATCTAGATATATCGAACTTCAAAGGTTAACACCGAAAGAGTTAAGCAGATACTTATACCGACAGCCTTTGCATTTTGCTACAAGTAAAACCCAATTTTCAAGGCCATCTCAGGGAATGCGTCTGACAGCTGTTTTTGCCATTCGGTTTAGCCGTTCTAGACTAAGAGCAGTATAAAGGAATTAGGTTCACTTCAACAAAAAAATAATTGTGAGGCCAGTTTTGTCCGATTCGGTGCATGTAAAAACATGGAGTCAGCTGGAACACCTGAGTGCTCATTGGTTTTACTTTTGGCATCTTGCCCAAACGTATTCCTGGCATTAAATCAGCAGCCAGGTTTACCCCTAAGAACATTCAAAGCTCCGTTGGTCTGGGATGGAATATTATGAAAAGTGATTTTCAGCCCGGGAATCTAAACTGTTCTATTCTTGGAGACATTTCCTCGAGCGCAAATCAATTTGGAATAATTTACATCACCTAGATGCCCCAACTTCTGCTTTAACCTCGAAGGCTTTGTTACTACCCAGAGTAAAATATTCCCATATTTGATTCATTCCCAAATTTTGACGTTGTATTAGTAAGGGTCATCCTCAGGAAAGGCTTTCCGTAAACCTCAGAAAGGGATAGGTTTTAAATTTGGTGTATACAACAAAGTGTGAATCAATCCGTCTTCTATTTGAATTTTTTTACATCAGCCCATTAAGCTGCGCCACCAAAATTTTGTAAATTTACTCTCATGTATTGGATAAACTGAGGATACCGAACTTATTACCCGATAATTTGTAGTTTTGAAAAACACTCAACCTGTGTTTCCCTAGTCTAAATTCGTTCTGAATTCAATAATTTGTTCGGAAATATCAATGTAATAAAGTACTGTAAAACCTAGTTCTTCTATCACTTTCAGCTTACGAATGAACACAAAGTTGGCGGGTAGAGTGTCTCAACAACTAGAACCTATACTTAAAACTAATCGAACCCCAAAATAGGTGCTTCGCAAGCCAAAAGTGCTGTCCACTGGGGTTGGGCATGATGCTTGCTGAAAGGTTGTAAATTAGGTAAATCTCAAAGGATGGTTCTCTAGGAGTTGAGATGCTCGGGACAAGAAACCTGCATTCATAATGGGAGAAAGATAGTATACTTGGAACTGGAACTGATGGGAGCATTTGACTCTATATGGGTCCGTCCCTTCCCAGTCTACTTCTCATTGGATTTACTTGCGATGACAGGGTTTTATTCATTACTAGGACCAGAGCCCTTCCATAAAATTCCGTCAACTGTCCGCCTTTGGATGAGCAATCTTTCCGAGTATTAATAAAAACATTTTCGGATCAAAAAGTCCCATCTTCTGGGCCTAGTGATCAATGACAGGAATATCTGCTGTTATATATATGTTTCATTTTGAATTGTTTTTATAGAGCATTTAGATGTCCCTAGTTTTCCGGTTTACCAACATTTGGGGCCCTGTAGTGAAATTTAGGCTAAAATGCCGTTGCGGTTTAACTGACCTGCGCAGATTCTAAATGATGAATTAAAACAGAGGACTCGACAAAACTTTGTGATGTTTGGCCTCAGAGAGAGGCAGTTGTCACTTGTGAGAATACGATACAGTAATTTAGGCTGACCTGCCAAATAGATCATTAGGCCACAAGACACCACAAGGCTTCAGCTCATCCTTGGCACAAAAACATCAGAACAAGAACGATTCTCATTGGGGTTCGGGCATTGGACGTTCCGCAATACCAAATAAAATAATTCGGCCACTCTCGCACCCATGATGTGCTGTCATATCTTCAACAGATCTACTTGAATTGTCAGCAGAATGAACACATTACTGATTTCTACCAGCAAGTCAGTAGCTTTTACCTATAAGAAAAGTAGTCTATAAAAGGGATAGCGAATCCGCAACCCTTAATGTGAAGTTCACCCGCGACTCCAACTAAGGATGTCCTCCGTAGACATGTTGATGCCGATCCTGTAATTTGCAGGTCGTTAGATTTAATTTCCAGCCTTGCCATTTCCTTCTGAGAACACATGAAGATTAGTGTTTCTGGAAGCGTGGGAAACACAGTGGGAAGCGGCTTTCCAAACTCGTACTGAAAAGGCATTTTAAGTCTGATTGACAGATTCAATGCGGTTACTTGTGCGTTTGATGTGATAAGGATTATTTCAATGATCACATGTGATCTTTTACCCATCCATCCACTTCATTTAGGTTCAGTGTTTATGAGGTTCATTGTAGGCCTTATGCTAAAATTTCTCTTCCAACCACTAACCCCGATAGCCAGGGCTATTTTGAACGACCGGTAGCGCCGGATACCATGTCTCTTGCTAACCAGGAAGGACGAGACTGGAGGAGCTTATTCACCAAGGTATCAAATGGTTAAGTGACCCAGTATATTTTGCGATACATTCCTCAATCGCGGACCTGACAGGTGATTGGAATCCGTGAACTCCGAACCGGGAACGAAAACCGGAACCGGTAGACTAGGCGTTATCCAAAATCGAAGGCAAGTGCGGGGAAACCATGCTGACTACGTCTAACCATGGTACATTAATATACTCTATGGAACAATGCCTTTTTTCTTCTGATGTCTCGATAATTTATTCAGCGTGTATCGACGAAAGCCGTGCCCTACTGAAATGTGTTGACTGGAAAAAGAGACCTACTTTCAAGTTAAGCTGTTTGGAGTTCCGGACAACTCATCTGGCTTTACTTTTAAGGTTGGATATCCCCCGAGACACCTTAAGTCGGCACCTGTTCGTCTTGAAAGTTCTACGCAAATGCTTTGAATTTTCGCTACAAATATTTCACTGGGGTATCTTGCAGAAATGTCCAGACTTCTTAACGCAAAATAATATGGAAACAACAACAAACTGTCTGCCGGATAAATGTGGATGGCAACCAAGTACGAGTGAAAATAATGCGGACGTTTGCTCAAATAAGGGGGAAGGCTCGACAGAAAACACCGAAACGATCCGTTGCTTACGCAACTCCAAATAGCGACGATTACCACTTCAAGACACTTGCGTAACGTGGTTTTCATTCGATATTCCACTGTTCCATTAGGTCAATACGTGTACATCAACTTGATAACCTCCGGATGCGTCTAGACCACCTCACGTGCCTAGCACAGAAACATGTAAAGTACGATCAATCCATCGACAGCCCACGACCGGTTTCGCCCTTCTTGGGGCTCATCAGGTAGGCGCAGTCCCCGGGTTTCCGTCAACCATATGTTCTACTTGAAACCAAATTGCACGAAATTGGCGAATATACACTCATCTGCAAACTAATTTGGTTCTTTCGAGAGATTCACCTGGAACCCAGCTGAATCTCTCGTTTATGATGTTCTCAGGCAACTGAATGTGCTGCACCAGGCCGCCTCATGTTTCAGTCGCTACGATATTTGAAATATCGCGATACATGTATATTTGTAATGTACTATTCATAAGGTTGGTGAAAAAACCAAATTAGTTTGCAGATGAGTGTATATTCGCCAATTTCGTGCAATTTGGTTTCAAGTAGAACATAAGGTTGACGGAAACCCGGGGACTGCGCCTACCTGATGAGCCCCAAGAAGGGCGAAACCGGTCGTGGGCTGTCGATGGATTGATCGTACTTTACATGTTTCTGTGCTAGGCACGTGAGGTGGTCTAGACGCATCCGGAGGTTATCAAGTTGATGTACACGTATTGACCTAATGGAACAGTATCAATCAAGTTGCGAA